ATATACCCCAGTAGGCATGAGTTAAATGAGGGCATAAGTAAGGAATAATAAGGTAATTTCACAAAAGTTTTTTTTGGAAAAAAAACAAAAGAGGAGCAGATCGATCGTGTAGTTTCAATTATAAACCAACGACAAAAATAAACTTTAAGGAACGGGAAGAGAAGAAGAGAGGAAGGTGAGGACCTGCCAATAGCCACCAAATCCGATGATAGCTTGGGTGATGGCGGCAGTAGCTGTTCGGATGAGAAAATAAAATAAAATAAGAAGAATAGGCAAAGGAGAGAAGAAAGAAAGAGAGAATATGAGGAGAAGAGATTTATTAAGTTATTTTTGAGAGTTTTAACTAATAATAATATCAAATTAGAGATCGATTACATGTAATATAGTAATTAAATTACATCTTGAATTGGAAATTAAAATTGAGGATTAGGGGTTTGATTAAAAATTAAAATTTATGTAAAGTTTAAAAAGTTTTAAAAAAAATGAGTAAATAGGTAATTAAGAGTTTAATTAAACTTGAATTTTTAATTTGTTATATTCTAATTATTGTTATTTATTGTAAATTTAATTTATAATAGACATGAGAAAGAAATTGACGAAAAAAGCCACCTAAGGAGGAGACATTTGAGTTTCATGAGGTTCATCTATATTTGATATAAGTATAATATCACATATTATATGTCTTTAGTGTTATATATTGCTTATGAAGTGAAAATTTGATACATATCACATATTATAGGTTTTTTGTACTATATATTGCTTTTTAGTGTCATATATGTTTGTGACTTGAAAATTTGATGTATACATAATATGCTTAATTGTTATAAATAATTATATGTATGTTGAATTGCTTTAGTATAAAATTTTTTTTCGTAAGTTAAATGAAATTGATAAATATTTTGCAATATGAATTATGAATGTTAGATAACTTTTACAGAGGCGCACGTATAGATAACGTTTATGTGTCAAAGAAATCAGGTTTCTCTTCGTGCTGGCCATTTTTTCATAAGAAAGGCAAAAGAGAATTCCAGTGCAGGAAACAAGGAGAGGGAAATGAGGGTTTCTCATCGCTGATTGAATTACAAACGGGCCAGCTTAGTTAGCCTATGGACTGAACCAAAAGCTCGCCAAAAATTATGGGCCCATTAGAATATATAAACTTTTTGAAAAAAAAATTTACAAATATAATTTTTTTATTTTTTTTATTTTTTTGGTGATAAAGAATTTTCTGATCTATGAATATGCATGTATAATCTTGACCCTAACTAGAGAATATAAACTTAGTTAGTTGCAGGGCCTTTTAAATTTTATCAAAATGGAATGCATGTATTTTATCAAAATGGCATAATTGAAAAAAATATATAACTCATGTCTAATTAGAAAGACAATTAAACCTATATATATATATATATATATATATATATATATATATATATATATATATATCATTAAGGGGAAAAAAAAGAAAAAAAGAAAAAAAAACAGTGCATGACTTATTCGGAGATGCATCGTTTGTTGTCATCTTTTGCTGTGACAAAAGGGACAACAAAAAATCGCACTGCCACTTCTTTTGCACGAAACTCAATTTTTAACTCCATTTTCGGTCAAAAAGACCTCAATCTCATCCCCACAACATCTACAAACTTATTTAAAATCTATTTTGATATACCTTAAAAATCTCTCAAAATCTAATAAAAACTTTAAAGCTGAAAATATAATCAGACTTAAATTAGGGTGAAAAACACCTCAATCTTATCCCCCACAACATCAACAAACTCATTATAATAAGGTGAGGTTATAATTATCACAAACCAAATTAGGGTTTTAATTTATTACAGACGAAAAAAATACTTAGGTATCTGTTTATTAAGAAAGGCCACAGTTCAAATTGGCCAAATATATACTGATATATTTTTTCATTAGGTAGTTGTTTTTATTAGTCCAATATATATTATTCAAATATTGTCGTTTGATTATTACAAATGAAATGTCCGAAATGAAAATTAATGAATCGAAATGATATTTGTATTCTCATACTAACGAAAAATCAAAATGTAATTTAAATTTTTTAATATCTGATTTTTTATATAAATAAAAATAACAATTTAAAAAATAATTTTATTAAACTATAATGATTATAAAAATAATAAAATGATAATAGTGGTAATGACTGTAATAGTGGTGATGGTGGTGGTGGTAGTTATGACGGTGATAGTGATAAAAATAGTTAATAGACAACAAATAAATAAAATATATTATTATTTTGAAAAATAATAATAAAATGAACAATATATACTGCACTAACAAAAACTAGATGTAATCCAAAAGCAAGCTGCAACATCACAAATTGTATTGCAGTACAAATGAACTTACATGTCTGTAGTTAAGTGCCTTGCTTCTTTGTGTTGACAGTGCCCATATACTCTTCCACTAAACCAGGTAAATCGTCTGCATACTTGACCACATAATTCTTCCAGAATTTCTCTTCACTTACTAATAGCAAAGTATGAAACTTTTTGTCTCCTTCAATCAAGTCTTTTGACTTCAAAACATTAATAACATTAGACCTTGGACGAATCCTCTTATCAACAGATAAGCCAAGCAAAGAAGGGTTGGTAAATATAATTTCTAGTTCCAACTGAAAAGTATTGGCAAGAAAATCCATGTTATTCCTGATTTTCTTCTCAGAGAATGCCAATATTTGCGGGTGTCGCTTAAAGATAGACAGAGTCTCGTCCTCACTCCAACCGAAACTCTTCATCATCTCAATTTTCTTCTTCCAAGTCGAGGCCGTCATTCGCATCTTCACGGCAAGAGCATGTATGAACATGTTATCCTCTGGTTCAAGGCCCAGAGTCTTAACAGTATTGACAGCATTAACAACCGAGTCAAGCTTATGTAGCAGCGATCTTGGAGCCGAGATAATGAGCTTTGCAAGCCGATGAAGAGGCACGCCCTCTTTTATCAACAAATCAACATTTGGTTGCACGGTACCCTTCAAATCAACATTCAACAGCCAGGAACAGCGCTTAACAGCAACAACAAGTTTCTCATTACTACCAATAACAGACTTCAAAAACTCAAAAGATGGTTTGATATTAGAATCTAAGGACCTCTTTGAAATACTAGGATTTGACAGGATAAATTGGGGAAGGAGGTTACCAGCAAAGCCATTTCCGACTAGGAACTCGAACTTGGGCTTTAGATTGTGTTCTACTCTGCAACGAAGGAAAGTGGGCCACTTTTTTATTAGATTGGCGATTTGGGTGTTGTTAAAGTGGTGAGATTTCAAGAAATCGAGCAGAGATTGGGTCTGGTGAATGTTGTTCTCGTCGAGATGGAGCTTTTGGGATGCAGAAAGAGCGGATTTTAAAGGAAGCCCACATGAGTTAACAAGAAATTGAACTGTAAATGATGATGAATTGGGTGTAGTGGGTAGAGGAGAGAGTGCAGCAGCAGTAGCATCAGATGATAATGTCTGCAGAAAATTTTTTTGTATAAAAGAAAAGGAAAACAGGGTTTTTATGGGTTTATAATAAGTAGCCTTCATTTTCAAAGCTAACTTCTTTTCTTTCAGAATCCTACCAAATTATAATCAGATTCAGATTTTAGACAGAGAGAGACTGAGACTAAGACCACAAATCGAACAGGCAGGCAGGCCGGAACTTAGGACGGCAACGTTTATTACACACAAGCCAGGCTTTTTGTTTGTTAGGGCACTAGGGGCCGATTGGGTCAATTTAAAAGGAGTAGGCAAATTAGGTTACAAGTGGGCTGGGTTTAACAGATCAGCTTGGTCCATCTGGTTTTATTCTGAGTTCTATGCTTTAAAGAGGGAGAGAGAAAATTATTGCTTTGCCTTTGCTCCTTTGCCAATTGCCAATTACCATTCATTCCTCTCTAGTTTTCCTTCCACAGGAAAAACACGAAATTTAGCTTACTGATTTGATTTGATAACCAGCCAGGCAACAAATGTTCAATTTGTTATTTACAACTTACTTGGCTTGGGAAGTCCTTTTCCTTGATAGAAGGAGAAGGGATGGTATGGATGGACTGGCCCATTTTGGAACATCCACTTCAACCTTTCTAGCAGAATTGAAGTGGACAACTTCATGAATTATCAGCAAATATTTGTAGCTCAGAGCATGCAATGGAGGAGATAACCAGCAGTACATACATGAATATCTGATTTTTCACCTTTTAACTGATTTGGTAGTTGACTTAAGTACTGACCAGTGATACTACGTCAAGTGATACATGAATCCTCCACTGCTCTCATCAATTTCATCATCATATTAACGTAGGAGGAAGCTCAAAAATTAGTTCTATGCTTTATAGAAAAAACAGAGACTAGGGAAGTGAGGGTTTCTCGTCACTGATTGAGTTACAAATGTCAAATGGGCCAGCTTTGCTAGCCTGTGGACTGAACTAATGGCTCACCAACAACGATTGGCCCTTTAGAATATATATATATTTTAAAAAATACAATTTACAAATATAATTCTTTTCTTTTCTTTTCTTTCTTTCTTTCTTTCTTCTTCTTTTTTTTTTTTTTTTTTTGAGATTGACATTTTTAATCTATTACTACTCATGTAAAACCTTGACCCTGAATAGAAAATATAATCTTAGTTATTTGCAGCACCTTCTAAGTTTTATCGAAATGAAATGAAATGCATATTTTATCAAATGGCTTAATCTTATATATATATATATATATATATATATATATAACTCGTATCTAGCTAGAATAAGAAAGATCATTAGGGAAAAAAAAACAAACAAAAAAAAAGAAAGAGAGATCCTACTCATATATAGAAACAATAAAAGGGAAGATCATATTTGATACCACTTCATATCATCAGGGTGCTACAATTATTTTTTTCTACCCAGGCATATATATATGATGCGTGGGAAGTTTTAGGTTTAAAATTATTTAACCCCAAAGATTTGATCATGAACTTGAAGCCCATTGAGAAGCGAAATACCGCAGCTCGCACTTGTCAAGTACCATATAAAGCTTTCATTCCTTGGTAATCATCATCATGCAAACCCTTGATTACACCACTGCCAAGAGTTGGCCACATGATAGCAGCCTCCACCGAAGAATGCTGGAGCCCTAAAGCATGCCCTAGCTCATGCAATGCAGCTGTCCCCATATCGTAAGTTCCTGGGGCTGCAGTACCATCTGACCAATTCACATTACCATTAAAGTAAACAGTCCCGAATGTTGGTGGGAATGCAAACCCTAGTGCACCTTCAGACAAAACTGAACTCTTATTCACAAACCCAATTGCAATGTCACCACCCCTAACATTCTCATCAACGAAATTAAACTTAAAAGGTGTTACACCAGTCCATGACAATAAAGCATAATTTGAAACAGGATCGATTATGTCCCTGCGCGTACCGGCTAGAAGACCCCAGTTGAGTACTTTCTTAGATAATGGCCACTTCGGTTGTCCATCATAGAACGCATAATCAAGGTTGTATTTACCTGCAGAATTCATTCTAGTTCTACCGTTAACGATATCCGGTACTCCGCATCGTGGCATCATCATCATTGATACGGTTTCGGGATCCAAACTTCCAGTGGGCTTCAAGTTGAAGTTGAGTTGGTAGGTTTTGACGGCAATTTCTACGGTTTCATCAAAATGATTGCTGTCTAATATTTCAGGATTTTTTAGCTGTGTATCGTTTAGGTACCCATAATGGTGAAGGTATTTTCTGAGTTTGTAAAGATTTTCTACCTTGTCCCCTTTTTTAGATCCTTGTAGATTTTTGATAAACTGAAATGGTGATGGTGTATGCACGTTTTGGTGTGCCCAACTGATATGAGACAAGAAAGGGAGGATTAAAAGGCAAAGAAATGCAAAGGAATAATAGGTTTTGGACGCCATGACTACAATGAAGTTGGTTAACATTGAGGTGTGTATTACGACTATATAAATAGACCAATTTCATCATATTTGTTAATTAAAGGAAAATATTTTATCAATTTTTGTCATAATTGTCGCAGCCTCTAAAGCAGCTAAATTGGAAAATACTTACCGATATAAAACTCAATTTTTGAAAAGAAAGAGGAAAATTTTGCTTCAACATATTCTTTCCGTTTTAAAAAAATTATTTTCTTTAATTGTTTACAAAGATTTTAAAAGTTATTAATTATTATGTCATATTAGTATTTTTATTTCTATTTTTTAAAAATACTTTTACTTTGTAGTTGTTTTTATAATTATATTTGGACAATTACAAATATTTTAAGAAAATATATTATTTAAAATTTTGACTAGACAAACAATTTTACTGAAATATATTCTTTCCAATTTAAACATATTGTTTCTTTTTACTTTTTATATAAAATAAGAAAGTATATTACTTAAAATTTCAACTACACAAACAACTTTACTCGAATATATTATATTCGTTTTAAACAGAATGTTTCCTTTTATTTTTATACATAGATTAAGAAATATATAATAATTGTTATGTGATATTAACATTTTTATTCATATTTTTCAAAAATATTCTTGTTTTTAAAATTATGTTTGGAATATATTCTTGTTTCATTAAAGTGGAAAATTTTATTTATTACTTCAGATTTTATGGAATCGAGAGCGTAGAATTTCTTCAATAAAAATATCATTAATGCATTGCTAATCGTTTGTAGATTCTTTTTTCACCTTTTAGGTGATGTGAATAATAAGAAGAAAAAACGGTTTCTTCATCATTATAATATGCAATTAAGGAATTTCAAAGATTTTGACAGGTCGTGGTACCGATTGACGCGCCCAGACTGCCCATAAGGAAACAAAATCAATGGAGAATCACATTAAAATATTATCAACAATATTTTCCAAACTTTTAAAACAGACTACTTTATTCGTAACAAATTACTATTATTATTATTATTATTTTGACAATCTTAATGAACAGAGTAATTTAAAATTAAGAATTCTTAAGCATTTTCTGATCAAAAAAAAAGAACAGCAACAATGAGATTCAAATTGTTAAGAAAGCCTACGTGACTGCATGAGTTAAGTAGGAATTGAACTGTTGATGATGGATTGGTGGTGGAGAAATTGTAGAGGCAAAAGCTGTTAAAAACGTAGATTTTTCAGGCAAAGAGGGATTTTTCAACATGCAAACTTGTCAAAGAATGAGTGAACGTACTCCATAAGGAACCGAATTGGTTCATGTCTGTTGGATTATTCTCATTGAGCCAGGTTTGAAAAAATTAAGTCCAATTTTTAATTGCAATTCCAAATCTTTTGCAATCCATTTATCATTTGTGTGAGGCTTAACAATGTTACAGTAAAGCATAATTTTTATTATCCAATTTGTAATCATTTGTTTTCAACATATCATAGGTCTATGATCTCTTTCGATTAAGGATGGCAATGAGCCGAATATAAAATGGATATCCGTTTTATCCGATTTAATAAATATCCATTAAAAATATTCAATAGATATTAATGATGGTAATAGTGAAATCATGTATATCCACTAATATCGATACTCACTCTTTACCTAATTAATACCTACTAAATTATTTAAATTTTTTATTGACATGTAGAGATTTAATTGCTTAAAATTTTAAAATTAAAAACCAAAATATTTTTTTCAAAAACTTTAAGAAAATAAAACTTATAAATAAATGACAAAAATGAAAAAAAAATTTAAGGATTAAGAATTTTTCTTAAAAATTATAGGGACTAAATGAATATTTTTTATAAATTAAATTTCATTGGTATTAAAGGGATGGATAGACTAATGTGGGCTGGGTATAGACTAGATAAAGATTTATATAGTGATTTACTAATGGTTAATGGATAGAGTATTTTTTTTATAGATAGAGTAAAAAATTAAATTAATTGATTGGATACCCATGCTTTGTCATCCCTACTTTCAATTAGCCAATTGTTTTGGTGTCCAATCTTTTCTGAACAACTGTAAAATCTAATTAAACATAAAAAGAAAAAAATACCCATTAATTTATTAAGTGGATATTACATATTTTCTTTTGATAAAAAATTGAGTCCTCTCTTGTTCGTAAGAGAACATTATTTCTCGGATTTAAGTTTCATTCCTAACATGGGGACACAATCTTAGGTCTAATTTTCAAAATCTCTAACATTTTATCATTAATTACATTCAAAGAAAATTGCAAATCTCCTTTATACTTAATGACATATATGTTTTCTTTCTAACTCATTTAAAATAAATAACATTTTTAACTTCAACCAACGGAAAATTAATTTAATATGAGAACCGATCAAGTAAGTAAAACTGAAAAAAGGTTATGAATTATTTAAAATCATCACCTCCCTTCGATGTCTATATAATAACCTCAATTAATCTTCATTTCATTCCATTCAAAAATATCTTTAAAAAATATAATCCTATTTGACATCTCTTATCATGGCATCTGGAAATAGTCTTTTCTCTTTGATTGGGGCTTTGTTGGCAGTTGGAGTAGTGCTAAATTCTCTAAACCACACAAATGCTTTTTGGAATCCATCACATTATCCCGAACCAGCTCCAGGATATTTTAAAATTTTGGATCAATGTCAAAAGCCTCTGCCAACTTCAACTCCAACTTGTAATAATGCATTCTTGGTTGCAATATTTCGAGACAAACCTATTCCTGAAAATTGTTGTCCCGAAGTCACTAAATTTTCAAAATTTTGCTACCATGCCTTAGGGTTGTTTGTTGCCACCACACCGAGTTTCACATGGAGTGTCCCAAAATATTTTAGACAGACTCAAAAGCTTTATGATCATTGTTTTCAAGTAGTTACATCCCCTCTACAACCTTCTAAAAAAACTCAATAGGAATGCATTTCCACTCTATATTTCTCATCTATAATTATGCATTTTTTGCGGACAAACAATACCTAAATAAAGTATTTAGTTAATTATAAAGCCTAAAACTTTTGTTTATCTTGCCAATTATTTCATTCTTAGATTGTTGTCTAAGAAAGAACGATGCTGCCATAATTTTTTTAATGTACTAACATATGCAGATAAAGTAGATTTATTGAATCACATGAATTATATTTATTTTAGGAACATAAAGAGTAATTAGTTAATACAAAATAAAACGATTGCTAATAAAAGACCTTCAATATTTTTTTTAGATAAATTTTATTTTTTATTTAAAATTCATTAAAATGGAAACTTTTATATATTACTTTAGATTTTATGGGAACCATAGTGTAGAATTTCTTCAATAAAAAATCGTTAATTCATTGCTGATCATCAATAGATTCTTTTTTGACCTTTTAGGTGATCTGAATAACTAGAAGAAACATCGATTTATTCACCACTATCATCTGCAGTTAAGGAATTTCAAAAAATTTTGCTGCCGAGTTCTATGGAAGTTGCGCATCCATGAAGAAGCCATTTGGATACCTTGAAATTTTAACATTTGAAGGGATGCCAAAATAGAACGAGTGGTTTTTCTTTTCAGAAGATGATGAAGGTGGAGCTTCCCTTGCTTTGAAAAGCTTTACATAAATCGTTGTCCACACCTAACAAAAGTCCTGCCCAACTGTGAACTTCCTAGTTTGACAACACTTGAGATCAGGAAATGTCCACAGCTTGTGTCTTTGCTTCCAAGGGTTCCAAGCGTCCTTATAATACAGTTGGAAGATGATTCTCGAGAAGTGCTGCTAGAGAAATTGCCTTCTGGGCTGTTCAGTCTGAAACTTGGCTGACTGCAGTCCCTTGATTCCCTATCAAAGGGATGCTTGTCCACTAGAGAAGAAATTCTAGTAAGGAACTGCGATTCACTTGAGAGCTTCCCACTGGACCAGTTCCCTGAGTTAAAGCATGTCTGGATCCATGGATGTCCAAATCTCCAATCCCTTTCTGCACCTGAAGTAGCTCGTGGGGATGTCACGTCTCTCTATTCCTTGCAAATCAGGAACTGCCCCAATTTAGTATCTTTCCCCAAAGGAGGATTATCTGCTCCAAATATGACAGTGCTTCAGTTGCAGAACTGCTCAAACATGAAGTCACTGCCTGAAAATATGGACACCCTTGTCCCATCCCTCCTGGAAATGTCTTTAAAAAATTGTCCCGAACTTGAGTCATTTCCAAAAGGGGGATTGCCCTTCAAATTAGAATCACTTGAGGTCTATGCTTGCAAGAAACTCATGATTGGCCTCTCAAAATGGAATTTACAAAAACTTCACTCTCTTAAACACTTCACTATTGGTATGTGCAAAGAAGTGGAATCCTTCCCTGAAAGTGTGTGGCTTCCACCCAGTCTTTGTTCTCTTAGAATCTCAGATCTCCAAAATCTGAAATTGCTGGACTACTGGGGAATTCAACACCTTACCTCTCTTAGAGAATTGATGATTGGTGACTGTCCTGAGCTCCAGGCATTACCAGAAGAAGGGCTGCCTGCCAATCTTACCTCTTTTAAAATATGGGCTCTTCAGAATCTGAAATCTCTAGGACACAAAGGGATTTCAACACCTCACTGTTCTTAGAGAATTGGAGATTGAGAGCTGCCCTATGCTGCAGTGCCTGCCAGAAGAACCATTGCCATTTGCCCCTCTCTCTTTCGTCTCTACATATCCGGGAGTGTCCGTTGCTAGAAAGTAGGTGTCAGCGGGAGAAGGGGGAAGACTGGCACAAGATTCGGCACGTCCCTAACATATACATCTATGCAACATGCTGAGGTATCATAAGCCAAATTCAATCTTAAGTTTCCTAGAGCTGTTGCACTCTAATTTGTTTTTGAAGCATCATATTTTTCCCAGATATAGAGTTACTTTTAAATCTATTGGTCACACACACACCCAGACACATGAGCGAGCATGCATCCCAGATGTATGGTGGTGGCTTTTGACTTTGAATATCCATGGCATGCTTCTTTAGTACCTGGTTAGATTTAGGTGTAAATTGATAATCAATCACCTTCATGCTATTAGGATTGATTTACTTAATGAAATAGGTCCCTTACGTAGAATATCTGAATTGGTGCTGCCGATGAGATTGTAGCATTGCTCAATTTCAAAGAGAGAGAATTTGGACTAATGCATTTGCATATAAGGTGTATATAGATGGTGCTTGTGCTTTGTAAATGGAGTCGCTAGTTGGAGGCTTATGGTGCACATAGCAATCAGAGTGAAACTGATTTCCACTCCAGTTCAGAAATTACGACTGAAGCTCAACATGGGATTTTGTGTTATCGAATATAGCTGATGGTCATTTCTGCTATGTTTGTTATCTGCTAATTCATCGTTCATTGGTTAGCCCAGCAGAGTTTGGAACAATATTCCCCAATCTTCCAGGTTAGCTCATGGCTTTAATTTTTTTTAGTTATATATGTTCTTCAAATTTTCGTACTTCCATAGATATATGTATGTAAAACCGTTGAACATACCTGTGATGTTTCACAATTTGATTTGAAGTATGTCACGGGTCAGAAGTCCTAACAGCTAGTTGCTCGCATAGTCATCTGTTGGGGCTGCCATGACTTTGATTGGTTGTCTTTATGGAAAATCTGTTGAATTAATTTGAGCCACAAGTAGTCAAGTACACAGCACTGCTGGTATGTACCATATTTTGGCAGAAATGATACGCAATTAGAACTTCGTTTGGACCTGTCTATTAGTCTCACAGGGATAAAAAATTCTACAATGCTGGAAATTTATAACTGTTTGGTCAAGCAAACCTGGAGCTCTTTTAGTCTAATACTATTTAGCTACAAAATTCTGTTGTGCTAACCATCTTCATAAATCTGATTTAAAACTTCTTGTACTGGATATGAAGCCATCACTGAGCATCTGACAAAAATCAAATGTGCTTTTGGTTGAATCTTTCATAGATTTTACTTATGCAATTTGTGGCAGCAGCGCTGATGAAAACTCCTTTCTTGCTCAACTATGGTATAAGAATCTTACAATTCATTTGTAAAAGATATTATGAAATTTCCATGCTTTTTCATAGAAGAGGTCTCCACTGTGTTTTCGTCTGAATCTGAGGTTGATAGAATTTAACTAGGACTGCTTTTCCTAGTAGTATAATGAATGCCAAACTTGCAGCGGGGTCTAGATACAGATATGTCTTTCAGGCTACGACTATGAAGCTCGTAGTACACATTATTTTAAAAGTAATTGGTTGCTCATGCCTGCATGTCTCCATGTAAGCTGCAAATTTGCTTCATTTTCTTTACAAGAATATTCTGAGTTGTCGAGCCTTTATTTACTCTCAACTCTCTGTGATATTAATATACAATTCCTTGGTGAAATATCTTAACTATGAAAATGGAAACCTTTACAGGCAAGTCTGCTTCGCATTGATTTGCAGTATTGTTGAAGAGTATTTCTGTTGTCCTGGTTCATGCTTTCTTGCTTGTCATCCATTTGGACTGGAGAAAACCTAAAATTGCTCATGTACTCTGCTCATAACTTGTTTCAGGTTTCACCTCCAAGTGGTAGGCTGTAGAAAAGGTTCAACTTCACTGAAATATAGGATTCAAAACCAACGCTGGTAATTGCCACTGTAATCTTCCTTACGTGCATATGTTTTCCTCTGTATCAATGCCAGAGTGGGTGTTGTATATTTTTAGACTACTTTATAACCCTCGTCTTTTATCAACAGCATTTCCCTGAGTCCTGAGGCCAATTCATTCTGCAAATCCAAATTCTTTCTTCAGTTCTCTCACTACATTGAAGATGAAACATCATGTACGGCAAGCTTTGACATTGGCTCAGGAGGGACTATCGAAGGGCCCCAATAATACACAGCTGACCACCTGTCAGTGAGTTGAAATGGGATTGCAAAAACATCACAAGATTTAGAAGAAGGCCAGTTCTTAATCAATGTAGAAGTTCAAGAGCAAATCCTGCTGGAGTCGATTGCCGTCCTGCCTTAGCTCAAATTCAGGATAACTCATCTCTCTGGAGAGCCTATGATTATTCAAATCCGTGAGCTTTAAAATCGAGCATGGAGAGTGTGTTTTCGTCAAGTGTATCGTAAAGGCAACCGACCTTTGTGTTGACTGGTTGGCGAATTATGGTCATGCCTTTGAGCTTGGTCTCCATGTTTTCGCAGATCCTCTTGCAATTCTTTTTGCTCTTCTTTCTGCAGATCTTTCTGCTCTGCTTTATTGGGCCAAGGCCCCGGTAAAATAAAAAATAAAAAAATCAGCCAACTCAAGTTATGCATTTGCATCCTCAACTCTGACCCAGAAAACTCTTGTGTCGGCCCAAATATGAAAAAGGCAATGAAAAACAAAAAAGCTATTGAAATTTTAATAAAGCTGAGTATCAGGCTCCCACACAGGACTTGACGTTCGGTCAAAACTTGCAAAATGTATTCCTCGAGTAAATTATAAATCTGTCCCTCTTGTTTCAATAAATGAATTGATTAGTCTTTTTTGTTTTCAAAATTAATTATTTTTTTTAAAAAAAAATTGTAACTTAATCTTCTTTTTTTTTTTTTTAAATAAAAAAAATGAAAAGATTGATGAGAAAATATTATGTTAAAGAAACAAAATAATTAATTTTTAAAACAAAAAATAAACCAATTATTTTTTTCTAAAAGTAGAGGGACTAATTTATAATTTACTCGTATTTCCTTCTTATATTTCCGATTTCCCTGATCATGTACATGTTATATAAACGCTTAATTTATATAAAAGTTGGCCAGAAAAAAAATTTTGTGATTGCAAAAATTTGAACGTGAATGAATTGAATTGAATTTTGTATATAAAAGTTGTACATAATGTATCTTAACATTTTTTTTTTTAAAAAAAAGAAAGTCAAAAACATTGTTCATGTGAAATTTACTTAGATGTTGCAATCTGTAAGAAATTCATTTTCCTATCTGGAGTTTAAGTTTTTTTTCACCATTAGCTGTACTTATATACAAGTTTTCTTAGACATATATACTGTAAGCAATTTTTTTAAGAGGTTGGTTTAGTGATTAATTTTTAAGAGGCTGCCCCCTAGCGTCTTCTGTTCCAAAACAATTATTATTATTATTTTTTCCCAGTCTTTTACAGAGTGTCCATATCATATATCTTTTTATTTGAAAAGATCTTGATCGTATTTATACTGTGGTTAAAGTTAAAGTTTTTTTTTTTTTTTTTTTAATGATACATACGGTCATATATGAAGCCATAAAATAAATTAAGTTAAGCTCAATCTTTCGAATGAATGTTTTATAAAAAAATTCACGTATTACTACACCAACTCATCGTTGACGGTCTAAAACAACATTCAAACACTGGTTTCAAACTCCATCTCTGTTTAAATTGGAGTAGTAATCTCTTAGTGCGCATAAAAAGTTGAAATATTCTGAAATGGAAATGAAATTATTGCTTATAAGATATGTATATCCTTAAGAGAGAGAGAAAAACAAATCAGAAAGAAAAGATTGAACTCGACACATATTTTACATTCTCCATAAACACATGCACAAACTTCCTAATCTGGAACAAGATGCATTGTGCATTACCAAATGCCATTAAAATGGTCAAAAAAAAGGTTGTTGTTTTCTGAGTCAAAGCCAGGCCCCGAAAAACCAAAAGTAGGAAGGGAGAAACTGTAAAAGACAAAAGAGTTTTCTTTCTTAATTGCCAATACGCAAACTTTTGGTGGAGAATCCCCATTGGACTCATCAAACGAGAAAAACAAAGAAAAGTGACAGAGAGAGAAGAGAATAGATTAGTGGGCAGTGGGCTGCTAGCAGTAGGTGTGAATTTTTTGGAAACAGAGAGAAGTGGGCGCGTGGTTTAGGTGAGGGAAGGGCAGATACATTGCACACAGGACATGAGATCGGTCTTTAATTATAGAAAGATAGATTTGATATAGCTAAGGTATAGTCTTCCATCGATATTCAATTCGATTTTTAAAAGCAAACCTGCAGCAGTCAGTGCAAATGTACCCACTTGATTGCTAGCATTCAGCAGCACATATTCTTCCAATCTGTACAGAAAAAGAGAAATTTCTTAATTCATGCACAATCATTCATCATGTGATTCATATCTTCAACTTTTTGTCTTTAGTTTCTTTTTTTTTTTCTTTTTAATAATGAGTATTTATTCTGAATTTTAACCATTTTCTGTGGAGATTTGTTTGAACTCTAAATTTTGGGCCGAAATACTATTTAGTTTTTGAAATTGAAATTTAAGTTTCCAAATTCAGTTTTTTTTTATTGAAATCGAATTTTTTTTTCCATTTTTCTTAAACATCGTGTACTATGAAGTTTTTTTTTTAGTTTAAATAGTCTAAATTAACCTATATAAAAATAATAAATATTTATTTAAATAAGATTAAAATATAAAATCATACCACATAATAAAATATTAAAATTTAAATTTAAATTCAATAATTTACATCTAAAATATATAATAAAAATGAAAGATTGATTGTTTAAATATTTTATAAATCGAACCGTCAAAATTCAAAACATCAATCAAAACTTCTAAATGTAAAAACAAAAAACATATTAAAATTTTTTTGATTTTTGGTGAAAACCAAATAAAAAATATTAAAAATCAAATCAAAATTAATATTTTAATTCAACTCAATTTTGTTTTTCAATCTAAATAGAATGCTGCTCAATTCTAACCATATCCATCATATTGATTTTTAGATAGTTGAAGAGTGTTAGAAAGTCATAAGAACCTCATCTAATATCGTAAATTTTTTAATTAAAATAATTCTTTGACATAATTTTATAATTTAATTGATCAAGTGATCATAAATTTAAATCTTATTATTTTTATGAATTTAAAAAAATATGTTAAAGAGTTATATAAATTATATGTCCGGTGGTCTCAACGATATAACGATGGAGGGATAGAAGAAATTCAGTGTATAGGAATGGGGCAACTTTGCAATGTTTCCTGCAAGAAACAAAGAATTTGGCTTGTCAACGAGAAATTGGGAAAATTCCTGTAAGAAATCGCGTAAGGGTTTTTTTTTCATTTAGTGTGTCAGACGTGCCAGCATTGAAAGGCTTTTGACGCTGCATCGAGCATGCAATGAATTGAGACACCATATGTGTTTCCCAGCCGTTGTTTTCAAGAGAGAAGAAGTACACGAAAAGATGATGATTTTAATATATTGATCTTGATACATTACTAGTCATACAGGGCCATGCTTCCATGATTTGGGGTTCTCTGCATTCTTGGATTTTGGGGCAGTATCTTTTTGAAACCCTAATCCCTTCTCTCTTTATTTATTCTTTTCACTTTACAAGCTAGCTACCATATCTTCGTGTCGTCTTGTTTTTTTATGGGTCATTGACTCCGGGTTGGTAGCTGTGAACATAGATACAAATAGTACCAGTTATATAATGTCGTATCCCATATTTAACGGATTTAGAAATGTTTGTCGTTTTGTCCTTTTAAGAAGTATAATGACATTTTACATAAATAATGTATTATATATTATTTGATAAATATAAACTATTATTTTTTAAATTTTATTATTATTTATGTGATATTAAAATATTAAAAATATATTAACTTTTTTTTATAATAAATTCAAGTATCGTTATATATTTGAATTTTTAAAGATATTACTATTATACTTAATTAGTAAAATAATTAAAAATATATGATTTAGAATAAATTTATTAATAAATTTTAACTTATTAATACATTCACGATATGAATTGTCGATATCGTTATTTTATTATTGTAATAAACAATAATTTGTAATTTCGTTTATGACGATTTTTACAATTACGGTTACGATTTAAAAAAAATTATGATTGTAAAATTGTGCTTTTTTATCAGTATCATTGATTGGTATGGAGAAACCATACCTTAGTAACAATGCCAATTGCTACATCCTGGCTTTAGATGTTGGTTGAGTGATAAGAAAGCACTTCAAGGAAGAAAATTTTTGTGAATGGGGCAATTACTCGTGGATGAATGCCTTTCATGATACTCCCAACCAATTCAACATTACTTATGTTTTGAAGCAAAATCAGCGAGGAAAGAAATTGGGTTTATGAAAAGAAGATAAAAAAAGAATTGTATTTCCGTTCTGTGACTGAAGTGAAAATAAAAGAGATAAAATAAAAGAAAAGTAACTTTCATTTATTTGAAACCTCAAGAAAATTCAAAAAATACTTCTATTATTTAATTATGATTATTTACACTCCATTCTATTAAATTTTACTGGCAATCATTTAGTGTATGAATGAATAAATAAATAAATAAATAAAAACAGTAACTTTGTTTTAAATTCAAAAAAATTTCATCATTTTTCTCCCAAGCTTGGAGAGAACATGTTTCACATAGGAGGCCACGACCCATGGGAAAAAAATTTCCCTCAAAATCTCTCCCATCCTTCTCTCATTTCCAAACAAAAGAAAATAACCTTCACTTTTATATATTCTATGCCATGGAATTTCCAATACCAACTTATTAATGAACTTTTGAGATGTTAGTTTTGGTGGGAGAATTTGCTATTTACGCTAAGATTCAAATAAAAAAGAGTTGGTAAAAAATAAATATCTTGTGAATGCATTATTTCAAAGTGTAAATGATCGTCTAACGTTTAAATGAAAAAAAGATTCATTCTTGATAAAAAGAAATTAGTTTAACTATAGTTTAACAATGTAAATGCTCCATAATCCAGTGACTTATGATACCAGCCAACCACTAAAACATGGTTCAAACCTTGGTAAATTTCTGAATTAGAGTACTTAGTCCCTCTCGTTTCCAGGAACGAATTAATTAGTCCTTTTTGTTTAAAGACCTAATTATTTAGTCTTTTTTGTTATTTTTCAATATATTTTGATTTACTATTTTAAAAAATAAAAAAATAAAAAATATGGAAAGATGGAGAAAAAAGGTAGACATTTTGTAAAATTAAAAAAAAAATTAATCATGTTTGATATTGATTAAAAAAAAAACTAAATAACTTGTTTTTGAAACTAGAGGGATTAATTAATTCATTTTTTGAAACAAGAGGGGCTAATTTATAATTTATTCTTTTGAATTATCATCAAAACCCTAAACCCAATATGTATATATTGTATTAGGTAAAGGAGAGTGGGTGACAAGAACCTAGCCCTCATGGAAGTCAAATGAGGATTCCGTATTACTGAACTAATCTCATTGGACGAAGAAACAACTTTGAAATGTATCATAGAATAATACAGATAATTGCATGACGTGCAAGACTTTACAAGTTTAGATCACTAAATAAACCTTTGCCCTAACTTTTATTCTACAAAATCATACTTTTCACATGATGGAGATCAAGAATTGTAGTTTAGCAATAAAAAAATTATTTGGATTTGCTTAATATTAAGGTTTAATTTTCATTATTTATAGATAATTAATCTTAATTATTTTTTAATTAATAATACTCAGTTTAGATTAATTTAGAATAAAAATCGGTTTACTGGTCGAATAAAATAAAAACCAAACGTCTTCTGGCGTTAGTAATTTAGTTCTAATTTATTGATGCAGAAGTTATTATAAAAATATCTAATTACTTGTACGTATAGTTATATATAGAAACTTGTCAAGAAGTATAGTTTAATTTCTATCCACAAACAGCTGCGTTTATCCCACTTTATGAGTTAATAAGTTTTACTACAGGCTGAATCTTTTCCATTCTAGCACATTGGTCCAACTGAAAAGGATATATTTAAAAAAAAAAAAAACAAATAAGACAAAAGTCACAAAACAACTTGATCATCATCTGTTCTAATTATATTGATTCAAACCCTTAAAAAATTGCTAAAAACAGAAATTATCTTATACTAAAATTGCTGGTGGTTCCCAAACGTATCAACTTGAATATATTGGGATCTGCTGCTCTGATTCTGTCTGATTCGGACCAACACCCTACACCGGATTTCTCGACCCAAAAAAACGATATCCAAACCCTAACTTGGTCCCACTTGGTTCAATCAATTGCTCATTTTTTTCACTAACCACTGATGCCTCTATAAATACGCTTTCTTCGTTTCAAAAAGGTCATTACAAAACCTCTCTTTACTCTCTTGTTCTTGACCATACCAAACATATATTCTTTCATTTTCTCGACCCTTCTTAGATTCCAAGAAACCAAACAAAACCCAGAAAAGGTGCACAAATTCTTGAATTTCCATTGCTGTATCATACATTTCGTTATGCTAGCACATTCTTGCTGCAGTTAGCTGACGCAAGAAATGATACATAGAGCTTCAAGAAAATCAAGAAAAGTGAGTAATACTACAAGACAATGGTGCGGTGTTTCAGCATAATGAGTGTTTTGTTATTAACAGTTTTAGCAGCATCAATGGTTGTGTTGCCATTGATGTTACCTCCACTTCCTCCTCCACCATTGATGCTTTTGCTCTTTCCAGTTGGAATAATGGCTGCTCTCATGTTCTTGGCTCTCTCTCCCTCAGATGCTGCTGCAAATGTTGCCCTTTATACTGTATGAGCTGTAGTATAAGATTTGATTGTCAAGAGACTGCACCTTATGACTACGGTTACATTTCTAGTCACATTTTCTTTACTAGTACAAGTTTTGTTTATTAGCTCTGCAGGTTCTATGATTCAGAGTTCTCATTCTTTTCTATATTCTGCTTTTGAATTTTGTGACATGGGTTTCTAATTTTGAATCTCACAGGACTATAAGTCTAGAAAGACTGTACAAGAAACAAGCCTAGTGGAAGTTTATTGTTAGCAACTTAATTCAAGATGACAGACATTGTTGCTTTCCTACTTTAGGTACATTGTTGAATAGAAAGCACTGCTAGGAAAATTAGGGAGTTATAAACACCATTGAGGAAAAGGCCATCATCCCAACATCCTTGGCCAAACAATGTGATCGGAACAAGTTGAAGCAAGAGGTTTCTCATCAAACATAAAATTGTTAAGTTAACGAGTTGTTGTAGAAGAGATTTTGTGATGCTAACATTGAAAAAAAAAAAAAAGTTGTCAAGTGCTTGCACCAGTTACACTTGGATTATAGGAAAATCTGCATCAACAAACACACACACAAACTGGAAAAAGGAAAGGGACAAAAAAAAAAAAAAAACTGATCTGCAATAGATAAATTCACGAGCCAAATATAAGGCCTCAATTCTTTTCTGTGTAATCTCAGTTTTAGAGGTCAGCTGTTTCTATTTTCACTTGAGAGTTCTGGTTGAATCTATGACTATTTATAAGTGTGTCATAATGGTGAAGATAATATGTATCGTCCCATTTGTATGCTGTTAAATCTCCTCAGTAAAAGTTCTGTGCCGAAAGAGAGGTGCTCTGGACTATTTCTCCAGAGTTTGATTCAGTGTCATCATCTTGCTGTTCATACAGAGGACGGATGCCACACTTCTTCATCTGAAAAGAAGGAGCCGTAATCACTGAAAACTGCACTTCATCTCCAGCTTGATACCAATCCTTAAACTTCCAATGGGATAACCACAACATATCCTCGTTGGCTTCTGGAAATCCAAAGCATATTGGCGTATATTCCCACAGTAGTCCCTTGGTCTCAATTCTAATTTGAGCATAATAAGGATAATTGCAAGTAACTTCAGGTTTAATGCATGCATATACAACACATATATTTAAACCACAGATCACGCAACCAAAACTTGGTGGCAAATAAAATGTTGTTTGACACGCCTTAGTACGAACATAGAACCAATAAGAATATTATGATATATAATAAAGACAAAAGAGAAAATGAAAAAAGCTGAAACATCAACAAGAACCTGGACAGAAAGCTTTCTCTGAGTTGATGCCACAAAATTGGACTCAGTCACTTCAATATTTCCTACAGATCCCAAATTGAACAAGCGCATGATGTTGATCATCTCTACAACAAAATTTCTTATTGGTTCCAACTTGAAAGAACCTCGTCCCTCGATCAGTTTGTGACGATAAAAAGTATCAACTTCCAATGGTCCCAACAAGTTTGGGAGATTAGTAATTCTTTCCGAAGATCCAAAATTGCTTGCTATTAATCGCATTAAACTTTCTGGTAGCTGTGGAAGTGATTGGAGCCTTGTGCACCGCTGTAACATAAGGGACTTGAGCAGAGTGAGATTGTTCATGCTTTCTGGTAGGTTACAAATGGGGTTTCCACTTAGATCTAAACATTCCAAAGAACACAGGCTGCTAATATCAAGTATATCATGATCTTCCAAATTGCAGTTAGAAAGGGTTAACTTTAACAAAGCGTCTGGTAAAAACGACCAAGTAAAATGGCAGATGAGCTTTTTCTAGATGATTTCCAGGACCATAAGCATGGTATGTATGTTAACAATTTTTTTATTGCCATTCCCTCTGCAGGAAGCACCAATGCAGATCTCAACTTCCTCAGCTGCTCAGGCATCTCTTCAAGATTGGAGCAACCAGAGAGAGAAGAATCCAGAACTTCAAGAACCAACGGAATCCCAGCACAATGATGCACTTCTTTCTGAGATAGCTCTTCATAACCTTCATTAGGACGTGCCTGTCCAAAGGCATGCCAGCTGAAAAGCTGAAGCGATTCATTAACACGAGGAGCATCAACTCCAAACTTCTCACAAGCTTCATGGGACTTTAACAAGCATCCATGTCTAACAGTTACAATGATTTTACTTCCCTGGTAAAGCTGATTCCAGTCTCCAATAAGTTTATCTAATTGGTCCAAGTGATCCACATCATCAAGAACAACAAGAACTCTTTTATGGCCCATAGCATTTTTTACCCTAATAGTTCCTTCATCTACATTATATATCTTCTGTGGTTCTCCTTTCAGGATATCTGAAGGAAGCCATCTTTGTAATTTAGCCAAGCCATTTGGTTGATTTGAAGTTTCTCTGACATCTTTAAGAAAGCTCCACCTATCAAATTCGTGAAAGTTCTGGTTGAAAACAGCTTGGCAATGGTTGTTTTCCCAATTCCACCAAACCCATGGAGTATTGCTATGCCAACCTTATCTGACCCAACTTGTAACCATGAGTTAATTTCTTTTATACGAGACTCAATTCCAACTAAATAAGGAGGAACATGCAATATCGTGCGATTCAATTTATTTCCAACTTCTCTGGCAATATCTTGTATTGCCTTCATTATTTGAAAACCAATATGTTCTCCTCCCTTGATTTCATCTTCATCTCTAAATGTACGAATTCCTGCCCATTTCAAAGCTGTGTAGAGGTGATCAGTAAAGTTCTTGCGAGCATCTGCACCTCTGAAACTCAAGAACACATCATACGCATGCTGACAGATTAAAGAGCAGTCTTTCCGGTCTATCGTATCACCCATCGGACAAAACTAAAATCTGACAATTCAAAGAAAGAGGGGCACTAAAGATTAATGTAGAACAGAAGATGTCAACAAAGTCTGAAAAAGAAAGCACAAGATAATCAGAAGAAATGAAGGAGAGGAAAGATCCCATCCAAATAAAGCTAAATAAACTAATATAGCATAGATTAATAGTTTGATTACATTAAAAGTTAATTACAAAACTTCAAAATCAAATTGCTTCCTGCCGAGGCTTAAATGGAAGAGTAACAATGAAAAGCAAGTCATTTACCACTCGAAACAGCACCTAAGGGTAGTGATTTCATTGTTATATCAGCATATCTTTGAAGCCTAAAATAATATGGCTATTCTATTCAATCAAGATGAAAGATCATAAAAGACTATAACAGTGAGAGAAAACATTTAAATTCTAAAGCTGCATCAATTCCTTGAAGGAAAAAGTAACATAAAAGGCAAAGAGAACATCCCAAGAACAAGAAAAGAAAGCAAGTAGGCAGGCATTACCTCGTTTAACTTGCTTTATTAAGGTGTGATTGATTGTCTTCGACTACATCAATGGATTCTGTAATCCATGCTGGGTTAGGTTTCAAAAAAGGCACTGCTACAGACACCGAACTACACCAACTTTTGGGGTGACAAAATAAACTTGGTTCTGCATGATATATTGAGATGGTGGATCCATTATTCAAAGTGCAACTTAGTGAGATGATGAGTTTGCTCATTTAGTTGAGATATGAGCATCAATGAAGGCTCAATAACTTAAGCAAGAAAGTACAGTGCTCTGTATTCCTTGGAACCCACTATCATTTTTCCTAGAACACTCTTAATAAGCTTCATAAAAGAAGGAGAAGAATGATTATTTTACCCTTGTGGTTGGTCAGGTGTTGGAACCAGAGGAACCTTAAGCTTGAAGAGTTGTGAAAATTTTTGAAATCTGGAGAGGGAGATAAAAATACTTCGAAGTACGGTGAAACGTGTTGTGTTGGGGGGGGGGGGGTGTTGGTGGTGGTGGGTGTGGGGGGGGAGGAGGTTTTGATTTTGCCCCTCAAGGTTTATTAAGTGTTTCAATGTGACCCGAAAGTTTTGATTTATATCAGTTAATTGCCTCAACTTCTATCGCATTTCCAAATTTCCCCTTCCGTACATTCCGTCTACAAACTGACAGAACTTCTGTATCATAATGAAGCCATTATTTGATAAAAACAAAAAGTAAGGAACTCAAATCTTGTGCTAGTTTCAGAAGAAACAGACCCATTGAAGTTTAATGCCAGCAACTTAATTCAAGAACGCAGATAACTTGCTTATGAAGGGTTCATTGCCCAAAATCCTTCCAACAATGTGATAGGAACAAGTTTATTTAAGTACGAGGTTGCTCAAGAAGCTATATAGAGTTTCCAAGTGGACAGGTTTTCATAAAATAGAAATTTGTGATCGTGCTAACATAAAAGTACATTATTGTTTCAGAAGGATTGTAGGAAAGTCAGTATCATACACAAAATTTCCAATGACAGTATAATACCTAACCTAATCTTCCTTACCATCGATCACATCTCTCCAGCCGCATATGTCGTTGTTCTTAAATCGTTTTCAGTACATTACGGCACAAGATGGCATGAGAATTCCTCCATAACTCTGCACCCCGTCTTCCTCAATTATGAAGTTCCATTTGATGCCCCAATTCTTCGCCTGTAAGGTCAATTGTTTCTATTTTCAGCTTCTGAGTAACCCTTGAATCTAAGCATATTTATATGTCTGTCATGATGATGAAGATAATATCTATTATCCCACTTGTAAGCTGTCAAATCTCTATCAGGAAGAGTTTCATACCAAAGAGAGGTGCCCTGGACTATTTCTCCACCATCGTCATCTTGTTGTTCATATACAAGATTGACGCCGCATTTTTTCATCTTAAAGATACTAGCCATTGCCACTGAAAACTGAATTGCATCTCCAGCTTCAAACCAATCCCTAAACTTCCAATGGCTTAGCCACAACATATCGTTGCTGGGTTCTGGAAATCCAAAGAATGTTGGGCTATATTCCCACATTTGTCCCTTTGTCTCGATTCTAATTTTGGCATAATAAGGATTATCAAGACTAACTTCAGGGTTAATACATGAATACATAACACATACGTTCAAACCACAGATCTTGGGACCAAAACTTGGAGGTAAATAAAACGTCGTCCGATACCTCTTAGTCTGAAAATTGAACCAATGTGGAACATCAATTCCAGGAAGAAAGATGCTGCTTATGCCGCATTCATGAAATACCTGCAGCATTGGAATTATAATTTACATAACGAACCAGGATAGAGGCAGAAGCCAAAAATAGACTATCATAGTATACAGAGTGCATAAATAACAGAAATAATGTGCATAAACACAAACCAGCACAAGCTTTCACCTACTGAGTATGATGATATATCATATAGACACAACAGAAAATGAAAAAAGTGAAACAATAATGAGAGAAAACCTGGAGGGGAATCTTTCTTTTAGTTGATGTCATAACATTGGACATTGTGACTTCAAGATTTCCTACAGCTTCCAAATGGAACAAGCGTACCTTGTTGATCATCTCTAGATCAAAATTTCTCATCTGTTCCAACTTGAACACACCTTGAACCTCAACTAGTTTGTGACAACCAAAAATGTTCACTTCCAGTGGTCCTAGCAAATTTGGGAGATTTGTAATTCTTTCCAAAGATTCACAATTGTTTGCTACCAATCTCATTAAACTTGTTGGTAGTTGTGGAAGCGATTGGAGCCTTGAGCATCGTTGCAACTCAAGGGACTTGAGCTTTGTGAGATTGTTCATGCTTTCTGGCAGGTTATGAATTGGGTTGCCACTTAGATCTAAAACTTCCAACAAATGCAAGCTGCTAAGATCATTAAGTACAACATGATCCCTCAAATTGCAATCAGCTAGGCTTAACTTCACCAAAGAGTGTGGTAGAAAAGACAATCTATACCGGGCAAATAGTATGCCTGTGCCAGCTGATAGTCGGGACCAAAAACTTGAAGCAAACATTTGCAATTGATTTACGATTGTTCCCTCTGCATGAAGCACTATCACAGATCCAAACTTCCGCAGCAGCTCAGGCATCTCACCAAGATTGGAGCAACCAGACAAAATAAGTGTCTGCAGTGATTTCAACATATTCATTTCCCTCGGGAGCATCCTGAGCATTTTGCAGTCCTTCAAATTTACAAAAACAAGCCTCTCTAGATTTCCAATTGAGTAATGTACCTCATCCAAACTTATGCATCCTTCGAGTATCAATATTTTAAGACAAGGGAGTCCTGAGAAGTCTGGGGTTCTGACCAGAGCATGGGAATGACTGAGATCAAGGATTCTCAACTCTGGAAAATCCTGTTGAACAAAAGCTATCAGTTTCCATAGTTAACATATAAACTAATCTCAGAGCGAGAGAGAGAGAGAGACAGAGAAAATTATTAGCCTACCCGGATTCCCTTCCAAACATATTTTAGATTGCTATTGTGCATGTCAAGAATAACCAGATCCTCAAGTGTAAGATCATCTGGTATGCAATTCAAAGAGCATCCACGCCAGCACAACCACACTAAATTCTTAGGAAAATTTGAATAACCTCCATCAAGAATCACATTATTGAGGTGAAGAAATTTTAGATTTCGCAGTTCAGTGAATGCCTCTGTTTTCAAGTGCACCTCACTTGTTAAAACTGTGTTTAGCTCCTGTTGGTCAAGGATGAGACTCTTAACATTTTGTGTTCCCTGAAAAAAGAAAAAACACATAATTACACAGAGGGGCTCTACAGGTGTCCTTATATAAACATGAGAAGTAAATTTCTTACAGTGTTTTTTCTCAATACAGCAAATGCATCCTTATGACGCCAAAGTCTACTACGTTTCCCAAGGTCCTCAGTTGATTCTTGACAGACAATTTCTCTCCCCTGTCTCTAAGCAATTGATGCATCACTAATTTCTTGTCTTTATCGATTGCTATAAGACACCTATCAATGAGTTTCTGCATTCCAAGTTTCCTATAGAAATCACAGCCCTCTAGGATACTGTCCATGTAATCTTTGTCCTTCCCAATGAAGAAACAAGCTACATCAAGGAATAAATTTTTGTCACGGTCGTCTTTCAGAGAGTTATAGCTTATTCTAAGGATCTTCTGAATTTTTCCATCACCATCAATGGCTTCTGGTTCCTGTAATGCTATTCTCCATAAATCTATAGTTTGGCCAAACAGAGAAGAACCCAGAACTTCAAGAGCTAATGGAATTCCGACACAATGATGCACTAAGTTCTTAGACTGCTCTACATAACCTTCACTAGGAAGCGCTTGTCCAAAGGCATGCCAACTGAAAAGCTTAAGTGCTTCCTTATCATGAAGAGCATTAACTCCAAACTTCTGACAAGCTCCATGAAACCTTAGCAAGTGTTCCTGTCGAGTGGTTATGATGATTTTACTCCCCTGGTAAAGACAATTCCTCATTTCAATAAGTGCATTCAATTGATCCAAGTGATCCACATCATCAAAAACAATAAGAACTCTTTTATGCCCCATAGCATATCTGATCTTCATAATGCCTTCATCTATATTGTTTATCTTCTCTTGTCCCCCCTTCAGGATATCTGAAAGAAGCTGACTCTGCAATTGAAGCAAACCATTTGGTTGCTCTGAAGTTTCTCTGACATCTTTTAGAAAGCTCCCACTTTCAAATGTTTCAAAGTTCAGGTTAAAACAAATCTTGGCAATGGTTGTCTTCCCAACTCCACCAAATCCATGGATCATTGCAATGCCAAAATCATCTGACCCATCTTGTAACCACATGTTAATTTCTTTCACACAAGAATCTATTCCAACTAAATAAAAGGGAACGTGCAGTATCCTGCGGTTCAATATATCTCCAACCTCTTTGACAATATCTTGAATAAATTGTGACTCATGCCTACATTTTAGTTTCACAATTATTAACCAAGCAAAAAGGCATACGGCGATGTTCATCAAACTAAAATGTCATTAACTTGAATTTGCAGTAAAGAAGTCAAATAGGAATTAAGTTTCTACAAGCATATTAATCTATTGGTTCCTCAATAAAACACATAAAGCATAAAATAAGTAAGTCAATCATTCTGAATATGCAAGCTAAATGATGGACAACCTTAACCGATATCCATTAAAGAGGGTAGCCCAGATTCTGTGATTTCGGCAAACTATGTGTATAATCTCCAAACTTTATCTATTTTCAGCAATCAGTTTTTGTTCCAAGACTCTATGATGCATAAACATCTAAACTTATACAATTTAAGACGTTCTCATATTAGCTTTATGCCATTCTACAACTTTCATAATTGCACATACAGTTACTTGTTTTTACTGACTCTAGTTATTTTTACTAAATCCTTCACCTATTATCCATGCGTGAAGCCTTATAGTTAGTTTCTTAAACTATCATACAAAATGTCTATACTAAATCTCCTATCTGTTACAGATCTTAGAAAAAGCTTTGAAAAATTACCTATTTTGTAAAACAAGACCTGCTAGATCTGTAACTTTTCTAAGAGCTGCCCTCCATCCCTCCACCATGCCCATCTTGTCCTTGAAGCATTCTTCATGTCTACCAAATGCTGGAGCGAAACTCTCACTCTGCTCTGAAACATGTGATGGATCAACATCATAAAAAACTGGCAGGACAATGTGTCCAACAATTTCTCTACGTTCCATGATCATCACAAGCTCATCCAGACACCACCTCGAAGATGCATAGTCTCTTGAAAACACGATCAATGACATTTTCGACTCTTGTATTGCCTTCTTTATTTCAAAATCAATATGCCCTCCTCTCTTGACCGCATCATCATCTCGAAATGTCCGAATTCCTGCCCACTTCAAAGCAGTGTATAGATGATCAGTAAAATTCTTGCGAGTGTCACCTCTGAAACTCAAGAACACATGATAAGCTTGCTGACACATTGAAGAGGAGGATTCCTGGTTCCTCTTAGAAGCCATCTGACCGAATCAAAATCTCAACAAGAATTTGACAAATGAGGAGGAACCGAAGGCTGGTATAGAACAGGAGATGCTAACAAAATCTGTAAAAGAAGGCATAAAATGAGCTGAAATGTTGGAGATGACAAATCGTGTTCAGTAAAGGTAAAATAGATTAACATGGCCTAGATTAAAATTTTGATTAGATATATAATGAATTGATCACAAAACTCTGAAACCAACCAATAAATTGTATATTCTAAGCCTAACGAACCCATGCGACAGACCAATTATAAATGATTTTCAAAATTTGCAGAGATAAGTAAATAAAATTCACTTTCAATAGATTCTATATTTCATGCCTTCGAACATCTATGCAAAATGAGAGTTCATTCGCTCCAAGGGGACACACCCCAGCAGTTAAAACTTGGGATTTCCACTTGGGGATCTCTGGTTCAAATCCAGGGATGGCTGAGGGCTGTTGGTTCTCCCGTTGAACGAAAAAAATGTGAGTCCATTGTCGGCATGTCTGAAAGCCTAAATTTGATGAGCTGATTCTTAAGTGACAAGTTGGTGCAAGTCAGTCGTAACCGAAGATGAAACTAAAATTTCCAGGTGCCAAGATAAAGATTGTGCAAGATCATAGCGATCAGAGAAATATTTGATATTTATAAAGAATTCTGACCACTTCCCTGAACTAAAATGGAACA